TTTGTTGCATCTCCTTGGCTTGAGTTGGGTTACGTGCCCATCTCTGAGCCAACAGGATATACTGGTTGGCTTAAGTTATTGAATTTCAAACCTTGCACCCACCTCAAAGGATTCCTATTTCATTGCTCTGGGAGGAGGATCCCCTGCATTGGTATTTTATTTTATTATTTTATTTTTTAATTTTTTTTGTCATTGTTATTTATTTTTTTACTTTTTTAAAGTTGAGTTACAGTCAGTTTACAATGTTGTGTCAATTTCCAGTGTAGAGAACAATTTTTCAGTTATACCTGAACATACATATATTCATTGTCTCATTCTTTTTCGCTGTGAGCTACCACAAGATCTTGTATATATTTCCCTGTGCTATACAGCATAATCTTGTTTATCTATTCTACATATGCCTGTGTTTTGTTTTTTGATAGCAGCCTTCCTAGTGAGTGAAAGTGATGTCACACGCTTTTGGGGGTTGGGGGAATAATTAGGCTTATTCATTTATTTTTGGAGGCAGTACTGGGGACCTCGTGCATGCTAAGCACATACTCTACCACTTGAGCTATACCCTCCTGCTCATGCATTGGTATTTTAAAATATTCCCTATTAGTTCTAATGTACAACCAAAGTTGAGTTTATTGGCCTAAGCCAATCAGTGCTCACTCTTAGAGCTGAGAATGTAACTGTTCTCCAAAGCAAAATCGAGTTAAACTGACAGATTGTTGAGAGAAGGGGAAAATAGATCTAGGGGAACAAACATCAAATATCTGCTTGTGGCAAACGTATCCGTGGCCCCAGTGTTCATATCACATCTTTCTTTTTTGCCATCAGAACCCACATTTTGTTTGGGACCACAGTGTGCCAGCCCCAGGGGATATAGGTTGTGATTGGCGCAAATACTGGTGATAATCTGTGTCCCCACTTGTCCTGCCTCCCTTACAATGAGAGAGAAACATGAAAGAGCTAAATCGCTCTCTTTGTTCATAGCAGAGGATGCAAAGCTAGTTTAAAGTTAATACATAAGACATGAGAAGTGTAAGCCTAATATTTGGAGTTACAGAAGTAACCACCAGAGAAGAAGAAAGGGGCCGAGCTGGGGGAGAAAAAAGGGAGGGAGAGGAGAAGAAAGAAATGTTCACAGGTAGCCACTTCTAAGGAATAAGACAAGAAAAAAGAGGATGAGAGAGCAAACACTTAGTTGTCATTTTATACCCCTCTGTTCTCTTTGTTTATTTCTATGTGATTATATTCTTTTTATAATTAATTATATACATTAATTGCTTCTGAAGTTGCTCCTAAGAGTGGAAGATGATTTTAAAAACCATGTAACCTACTGTTCAACAACATTTCTTTAAATGTATAAATCACCTTTTTGACATGAAATAAGGAGGACTTTTTAACTGTGCCATTTGTCCACAACCTCACAGTGCAGAGAGGAATCAGACGTTTTAATTTTGTGCATGAGAAAATCATCCCAGGAGCTTAAATCAGAACTCAAAGTCAAGGCCAGCTCATGGACGGAAAGCTGCAGGAGCTCCTGATGGCGGCAGGAGATTGAGCTGTGTTCTGCGTTTCATGTTTGGCCGCAGCCTTCTTATCTAGCAGCCCTAAGCTGATTTGGCCAACAACTAGTCAGAAGAAAAACCTCAAGAATTCAGCTATAAGCATCTTCAGTTTTTTGTTCTTTAGTCACATCATTTTCAGTTTGACTTGGTTCCCAGGTCGTCTGTGAAATTAAATCTGCTTGATTTCTTTTATTATGCTTTTGCTCATGATTAAAGTTTCGGGTCACAGCGTCACAATAACCACAACGTATTATTTCAGAAATTATGAGAAAACAAAGACTACTCTGGAAAATAAGACTTTAAATTTTGATGTCGAGTAGGTTTGGGTGTCAAGTCACTTGTGAATAATATTTAACTGATCTTTAATTGTGATTTTCAGATTGTTTGTCTAAAGAAATTGGTACAATTTAAAAAATGTAGAAGGACATCGTGAGACTTATTTTTTTTCTGATTCCAGGAAATAGGTGAGTTAGCTTCTTTAGTGTGTGTAAGATTTTGTTTCCCCGTTTCTCATTTGCCACATTTAGATTCTATTCTTTAGGGTCGTATGTTAAAGAGGAATTCAGATTCCCCTCTTACCGTTTATTTTTTCAAAAGCCAATTTTTAGTTAAAACTCTACCTAAGATTCCACTGGTTTTAGAGCTTTCAATTTTGCACAGAACTCTCAGACCTTTTCATATATGATTATCCATGACTACTGTGTCAAAAGAAGGCAATAATAATGTGGATTTATGAAATGCAGTTTCATCCTGTTCATCTTAACAGGCACCTATCACGTGCAGGTCAGCCAGTGGCATCATTGTTTGGGGCCATCCTTAGCAGATTTTAAAATGTCACATTGTTGCTTCTCCATCGAACTGTTTATTAGGGGAATAGACACTGAAATGGCATGAATTTGTGTAACATTTGATGTTGGTATTTAGGAATAGCAAATAAATGATAGATGGACAGCAAGAAGAGAAAGGTTAAAAAAAAAAACTGGAAGCCTAGATGACCCAATAATAAATGGGTCTCTGAAAAATAGAAACTTGGCTACACCTAGTGCAGGACACAAGATTGGAGGCGTTAGCCTAAGGAGCTGAAAGTTAGCAGAGACCTCTAATTGCAAGTTAATGAAGCCACCTAGTGGTTTGGTACATAATCTAAGGTTGTGGGAATATGTAAAGTGTGGATTGATTGTGTGGGTCTGGAACCAGGCATGGCAAGGAGTCTGGTTACTTTTCATTCAGTCCAGCAAGGAGGGTCAGTTACACTGAGAATAAGCACAGCCCTGCTCTGTGTCATCTTTTATTTATGTATAGTCTTTTTGTCAGAAAGGACTCAAGATAACTTTCATGAAAATACAATGAGAGAGCACAAACTAGAAGACGAGACAGAGAAAAAACATGAATAAAGATACAGAGTAGTAAAAACTTCTGATAATTCAAAAATGCTTCCAAAATCCTATCAGTTTTCCATTGAACGGACTCTACATTTTCAGGTAAGTGTGGAAATTGATTGCTTATGAAATTCACAATGTCCAGAAGAGTGAAACAATTTCCAGGAAAAGTAAAATCACACCTGATGTCAAAGAGCAGAGAAATTTTCCTTCTGGAGGTCCTCACAGATCACGTAGCGCATAGCGTAATGTGTATTGTCCCTAGTCCTCATGACGGAAATCATTCTGAGTTGAGAGATTTTTTCCTAAAGGTGTCCACACTGCTTTGGAGGAGAATGTGCACCAAACTCCATTTTCAGGGCTTGCATTAAAGCATTTGATCCTCATAATAAGCCTGCGAGGTAGGTAGTGTTATGATCTCCGTATTATAGTTGAGCCCACTGAGACACAGGGAGGTTATCAACTTGCCCGAAGTCAGGCTGTTAAACAATGCAGGTAGGACTCAGACCTGGGAAGTCTGGCTCTAGCACCCATGCTCTTTTCCAAGATGCTGTGTATACGGAGTGGCCCAGCCAATGAAAATAGCAATACTGAATTCTTACATGGTCCGTGGGGGAGGAGGTAGGAGTGCTTTAACGTGACGCTGAAGATGAGGTCGGGACTGCACATGTCTGAGGTGACTCAGTTGACTTTGCCCTCCAGGGTTCCAGACTTTACCCCGACCCCCGTCACTACACACTCTTGTACACACATGGGCACACACGCCTTTGGTCAAAAACAGAGGACCAGGAAAGAGTAATCAGATTCACCAACTTCCTGACTTCTAGAAAACAGGTGAAATCCAGGACCTTTTTGATGCCTTTGTATCTTCAGATACAGGAGCTAAATGCAATCGTAACAAAACGCACTTTATTTTGCTAGTTGTTCTTTCTCAATGTGGTATCTATAAACGCTTGTGAATGGCAGCTAAATTGATTTCTCTTAACCAGTCATGAAAGTTGATTAGCAATGAGCAGATCAGCGATGAGCAAGGTAAGCCTGGAAAGGAACTTGGTAGGGAAATCAGGGCATCACTGAAACATTTCTAGTTAGAGGAGTCAGAATAGCCTGTAACTTGAGTCTTAAATCGAGCAGTTAGAATGATGTTCTTTTAAGCTGTGCATTAGGGTAGTTGTGTGGTTAATGTTATTGCTAACAGGAAAAAGTACACGCTATAAAATGACTCTTCTATATAGGTAAGACTCCTTGAAAACAAATTTCCATGGCATTTAAAAGAAATGCTTAGCACAATAAAGATTTTAATGCTCCTAAAAGATTCAAGTTCTGTTTGAGGACCAACATGATGGCCTACCACCCATAAGACTGAAGTTTCCAGAATGATAAGCTGTTAATAGTTCTGCCAAATGCTTGAAAGATTCATCTTATCATGGGAGTATAAAGGAAAGAGGGCGCTGCTGAGATATGAAGGAAACATTGACTGGAAATCAAGAAACTTGGGATTTACTTTATTCTGATGACAAAGGAAGACACAAATTCTTTGTGTGTTATTTTTCTCATGAACTTGGGAGTCAGACCTGGATTCAAATACCGGTTCTGATCCCTGTTAGGGCTGGATGATATTGGATTAACCAGTTAAGACTTTTTTGGCCTCAGTTTCTTCATCTATAAAATGGCTTCAGTAATTCGTAAATCTTGTCAGGTGCTCACTGTATGTATATTGTGTTTTTTTAATACCTTTGATCTTTGTAACAGTCTTAAATGGCATATTCACTATTGTTATCCCCACTTTACCGGTGCTATCACTGCAGTTGGGAGAATAGGTAATGTGAAGAGTTTAGGATAATTTTTGCAGTGTGTTATAGCGCCTGGTACATAGCAGATTCTCCAGACATGGGAGCTGAGGTCTACCTGTTGTCTCCATCTCTTTCTTCTCCTCTTCTTTTGGGATATGCTTTGAAGATTGGTGACGAGGAGAACTGCATGCTTAAACAGCTTAAGTTTGGGAATTAGACAGAGATTTAGGCCAACTGTTTAGAAATAAAACTGAATTTTAATTTTCCTGCAGGAGTGGCAAAAACTCAACTATGATATCTACACCCTGCGACAGATTCGAAGGGAAGTGAGAAGTAGATGGAAACGCATTTTAGAAGATTTAGGTGAGTCTGAAAGTGATTACGAAATGGTAAAAATAACCAGTTGTGATCATTCCTCTTCACTTTCTTCAGCCTAGTTTTTATGAAAAGGGTGTCAGTAATGACTAACTAAGGCTACTTACTGTGTACTAATTATTTTCCCAATCCTGTTCTCCCTGTATCCTCAAGCACAAACATCTGATGTTCCCGTTATCGGCAGCCCCTGTCTTGAGGATGTGTTTTGCCATGTGCTACTCCATCCGTCCTCAGTATCAAGTAGCACAGGCAGCAGAATCACATGGGCACTGCCATTGAATTTGGGGGCCTTTTGCATTGATTGAATTAGATGGGACTGATTGGCCAATCAGTAGCAGCTTTATAAGATAAGGCAGATTGGGAGAAATACTGTTTGTAAGAGAGACAGCAAAATACAGTGTAGACTTTCGTAAGGACTACAAGGTAGGGAAAATACCCGTGGTGTTAGAGTAGACATTGCGTATTGATTTTTCTTAATTCTGCCTGGGCTGTGATAGAATAAACATGGTCTTCACACTATAAAATGAGCTGGCTTTAATGTTTAAAATAATGAACATATCAGCTTTGGAGACCTCAGTCCTTCTGCTTTGAAAGAGAACATGACACCTTGGCATCAGAACTTTTCAAAAGAAAGGTACCAAGTTGCTAGCCCCTGTTGCTTTAGTTGGGATGCAGTGGAATGGGGTGGACCTCTGCCCTCTTTACTTATTCAGTATTATTGTGACTTAATAGTCTCCTTTTTAACAATGTAAGTTGCTCCAGGCAGGTTAAATCTGTGAGTCTTCTATACCTTTGGGAAGTAACTTAACTCGCCAACTACATTGCCCCAGGAAGGGAATCTGGGCTTGGAGAAATAGGGGAGGAAAGTGACCACTTTGCAGATTGGGGTGGGGCAGGAAGGAATTCTGGGGACAGGGAAGGAGATGAAGGGTAGGGAGTGGAAGGAGGGTTTCCAAACCAAGAAAAGGGGCAGCAAGCAGTCAGTGGGTATCTAAGATTTAACTTGAAGGGAAAAGCTAATGAAGAAAATTTGGTAAGAGGAAACCTCAAAAGAATTTTAATTAAAGACTCCTGCCAACCACACTGAGCTGGGAAGCAGCATGTGAAGTGGAGGCTTGGGCTTCTGTTTTCTCATGCTTGTTCAGAATTCACCCTTGGGTCCCTTAATCTCCTGCAGGGACCGCACTGCGGGGCTGTCATTTCTTTGTGACTACTTTACATGAAGGTTCAATTTCTTTACCTTAGGTTTTCAAAGGGAAGCAGATTCTTTGTTGTCGGTGACGAAACTCAGCACCATCAGTGATTCTAAGAACACAAGGAAGGCTCGGGAGATGTTGTTGAGACTGGCCGAAGAGACCAATATTTTCCCAACCAGCTGGGAGCTCTCAGAGAGATACCTCTTTGTTGTGGTAAGTGAATACCTTTGTCCGTCTGCCCTGATTTTGCCTTAAATTTTTGCTTTCCTGTTGGTCCATATACTCATCATTCTGACACCACTAGCTCTGCCACAGTGTGAGGTGTGGCAGGTGAGGCTGGCATCTTCTGCATTAGTTCCCAGTGGCCGGCACATCGTAATCCCTTGGAGGGCTTTAAAAATTCAGGTTTTTGTATTGCACTCAGACCAACTGAGACTTGGGTTGTGGCTCAAGAGTCTATCTGTATTTTTCAGCCAATTTTGCTGTGTAGCCAGCCTTCTGAACCATTTTTTTGTTCAAAGAGATGTAGGAAAGATTGTGTCTATAACCAAAGGTTGAAAAATGATTCGAAAAGCCTCTTAGACAGCATAAGTGAGGGATTAAGGAGTGTCTCTAAATTTGTTAAGAAAAATGTAATAAATGTTTTACTTACTCATCATTTCTAGGGTGGATACTGAGGTTTTAGATTGGTTTTCTCACTGACAGGGCTTGGTTTCTATCTTGAGAACATTTTTATCTTTAACTTTTTGGCAGGACCGTCTCATTGCACTCGATGCTGCGGAAGAGTTCTTTAAAATTGCCAGTCGAACTTACCCCAAGAAGCCTGGGGTCCCATGCCTGGCAGATGGCGAGAAAGAATTGCACTGCCTTCCGTTTCCAAGTCCCTAAAGGAGAGGCTGCGAGGCAACACTGGAATTCTTCCACTGGAATTCTTCCACTGGAACTCAACAGCCAACCAAAGTTGGACAAGTGCTAGAGGGCTAGCTAAGGGAAGAAGGATTCTGGCTCCTACAGAAATCTAAGGGTTTGAATGTCTGGTCATCATGAGGACGTGACTCTGTGAAATGTTCAGGTTACATTGAAACACCCTAGGGACCTTGCATCAGCAAGTTGGTCAGCGGGATATTTCATCATGGGTGATTAGCTTCCAAGAACTCGTTGCCCCTGTTTTGGTTTTGGTTGTACAATAAGCTCTAAACACTGGTCCTGCTGGGAGAATGGGAAATTCTAGTTAATAAAACAGTAAGATTAATAGAACTACCATTGAACCCATATATGGATTACCAATGTTTAAGTAATTGTTACACAATACAGGCTAACACCAAAATAATACCAGGCATCACATGACCTTTCCTTGACTTGGAAGCACCTACAGAGCCTTGGAGGTGTTTGAGGCCTCATTCTGAGTATCTGTTATGATGACTCAGAAGTTTAGATGTACCCAGTAATAGAAACACCTAGGAGTGCTGCTCAGAAGTGAGTCCCAAATAGAATGATCCCAAGGAGTACTTCTGCAGCTACATGTAAAAAGCTCTGTCTTCAGTTGTGGCACAAGCATCTTAATGTCCCAACATTATTGAGATCTGGTTACCTCATTTTTGAAAATGCCCAGCCCTGATCCACAAGCCCTTGATATTTTATCTGGGATGGCACCTGTTTGACCTCCACTTTCTTCTCTTCTGTTTAGTCTGTCCCCAACTTATCAGCCGAGAGTGGCACCTGTCCAGGGACCCCCAAGCAGACTTGCAGCTCTATAGGCAGTGTTGCATTGAAGGTCCTTGCTGGACTTTCTCCCTTTCTGAAGATGATTTTTCAAACTGGAGCAGTTCTGTCAACACAGCTTGTTTCTATGCACAGATTGAGCCGTCCAGCTTCCAAAGTGACTTGCCACGTAGGCAAGGAGCTTGCCATGAAATCATGGTTCATTTTATTGAAAAGACTTTCAGAGCCTGTAGGATTTCTCCATAGATTGCTGAGAACAATGGCAATATTTTTACTTTTACAGATTTTGCTCTTCTGACTTCAAGTTAAAAAGTAACTTGTATTTAGTCTGCACAGGGGATTGTGACTTGAAAATTTTCCTATCCTGACTGGCCCTTTTGGCAGTGAAGACAATGTTTAAGATGTTTGTTAGAGGAGATGCGTGTTCTCCATTTACGAATGCATTGCAGACCAATTTAACTGACATGTTTCAGGTAAATTCTTCCTAGTTTAGTAAGTAAACTGAAAGTTTTATTTTTTAAAATAAAAAATATATTTTTATTTTGTTTTATGTAGTACTTAATCCCTCTCTCATGTTGTTGAAAATTAGCCTGAAGGTATTTTTCCTCACGTCTGTGGGCTCTTGCAAGATAAACATACAAACAGTGAAACAAACAATAAATTAAACCAAAAAAAAAAAACTTGGAAAATCATATTATTTTCATCTTTGTCCTTGGAATTTGTATTTTGTCTTTCTGCCTTCTTTTGATGTCAAAATAGATGGGATTGTTTGCATCTATGGAGAATAAATTGTAACCATAGTCTTTATTTTTGGTAATGAATAAGTAAGGATAAACTTGTCTCTCTGATTATAAAAACATGTGGAATTATCCAGGAAATCTTCCTTGCAAGGAATTAAAAGTTTTCTGTGTTTACTTTTCAGTTGAATGTGTGTTTTATTTCTGAGAATTAAGAAGGAACAGATATTCTTTCCATAATCCCTTTAAATTAAAGGGTTAAGAAGCTGAAAGACTGAAAGGGCTTAAGGCCCTCCCATCATTCTAAAGCCATTCGAGGGGCGGATCTGTGCCCAAGTCCATTGAGTGGTACGTGAGAGAGGCTTAAGGAAGCCTGAAGTGACCACTTCAGAAGTCACAAGTTACTCGGCAAGACCAGGATGCAAAGGTTCATGCATGTATGCGGGGCGATTTCAGGTGGTAGATGGAAATTTTTATGTTAATAAGTTACTCATTTTAATATGCAGCATGGGGAAAACCTGTAATTAGCAGATCAAACTCCTGATTTCCTATTCCACGGATATTATTGCAGTGAACAATAAAGTATAAATGTTTTCTTAAAGGGGGTTCCAGGAGACCCAGTGGACTCATGGACCAAAGTGATAAAGAATGCATTGGTGAGAGGTCCCCTGCATCACTGAAAGCTCGGTAGTATCCATGCAGGCCAGGGGCTATTCCAGAACTGGGCTCGTGGAAGCAATGGGGATGGAAGAATAGGGGCCCAGTGGCAGTGCTTCACTGCCAGAAGAAAAGTGGGCACAATTATAATGAGTGGCCAGGTCTGAGGGTTACCTGCAGAGAGATTTGGAGATGGTTGATGGAACCTGGCATCCCTAGGGGCAAACTAGATGGGTAGCCAATAAGAGTATTGTTCAAACTAGACCATGAAAAGATCTCAAGGATGGACGATCAGGAGATATACAGGGCATAGCCATAGCCATCTTAATAAAAAGCCATGATCTCCTGCCAAGTTTCCGGACCTTGGCTGTTTCCTAGACCCAGAAACTACTGACTGAAGGGAAGGCTGGATTCCCCAAGGAGGACTTTGAAACATCACTGCAAGTGTATATGGCAATGCTTCCCCTATTCCTTCTGCAAAAGGACCTATAGTTGTTTACCGGGAGACCATACACTGGGAAAAGGAGTGTACACAAACACCCTGAGGACATGGGACACAAGGTCCAAGTTGACATTGATACTCAGGGACAAGAATATCATTGGAGTGTGCCATTTAGAGTCAGGGCAAATGGAGTTCAGATCATAAATGGAGTCCTCCCCCAGGTCTAATTCACCGGAGGTCCACTGAGTCCATGGATCTACCCAGTGGTCATCTCTCCACTTCCAGAATAAATTATTGGACTCAATATACTTGGAACTTAGCAGAACCACCATTTGTTTTTTTGGCCTGTGGGTTAAAAAACATCTTAATGAGAAAGCTAAGTGGAAACCTCTCAAAATACTTCACTCCCCTGGCCAAGATAGTAGACCAAAGTCAATATTGTATTCCAGAAAAACAATAGTGATTAGTATCCTTAAAGACCCAAAGGATGCAGGAGGGTTGGTCTTGATTAAAATTCTATTTAATTCACTACTCTGGACCTGAAACTAGGTGGATCCTGGAGAACGAAAGTGAATTATTGAAAATTCAACTAAATAGTAGCCCTAATTGCAGCTACTGAGCTAGATGTGGGATCTTTGTGAGAATAAATTAACACAGTCTCAGCCGCATGGTATGTGGCAAATGATCTGGCAAATGTGTTCTCTCCATACCCATCAAAAAGGTAGGTCAGAAAGTGTTAGTATTCACCTGAGATGGACAGCAGTGCATATTTATGGTATTGCTCCAGAGCTATCTAAACTCTCCTCCCTCTGTTTTAATATAGCCCAAAATGATCTGGACCATCTAGACATTCTACAGAATATCACATTGGTTACTGTGTCAGTGACATTAGCGATGAGTATAAATTGGCAAACGCATTAGAGGCCCTGACAAATGACATGAGCTTCAGAGGTTGGGAGATAAATCCTACAGAGTCTCAGGGACCTGCCACTTCAGTGAGGTTTTCAGGGGTCTGGGTCTGGGGCACACTAAAACATCCCTTCCAAAGGAAAGGTCAAATTATTTCATCCTACATCTCCCACCTCTAAACGGGTGAGCCAGCAGAATGCTTGGTAGGCAGTCGTCTTCATGCTGTCACCCGGAAATACTGCTCCATCCCATTTAACTGGGTGACATGAAAACCTGCCAGCCACGAGTGAGATCCAGGCAGGAAAGGGCTCCAAAGCAGGCCCAAGCTACGGCCAAGCAACTTGACACCTGTATCACAGGACCCTGCAGAATGTTTGGTATTAAAAGTCATGGTGATAAGAAGAAATGCCACGTGAAATGGGTGAAAAACTCAACAGGAGAATGACAACACAGACCCCAGGGTTCTGGAGCAAGGCCATGCCATTTGCAAGGGATAAATACACATTACTTGAAAAACTGTTCATCATGAGTTGGGTTTTTGTCAGATTCAGGAACGTGTAAGATCAAATTCTCGCATCAATATAGTTTTTCCTGTTATTTTTCAATATAAACTATTAATTTTAGAACAGCTTTAGATTTGCGGAAAAGTTGCAGAGATAGTACAGAGTTACAGTTTGCCCTGTTATTAATATCTTACCTTATGGTACGTTTGTCACATCTAATGAACCAATATTGAGACCTTATTATTAACTAAAGTCCAGAGATTATTCAGATACCTTAGGTTGTAACCTAGGGTCTTTTTCTGTTGCAGGATCCCATGCAGGACATCTAGTCATCAAGTTCTCTTAGGTTCCTCTTGACTATGGTAACTTCTCAGACTTTCTTTGCTTTTGATGACCTTGACAGTTGTGAGGAGCACTGTTCGGGAATAGAGAAGAGAGAGAGGATAAGTACTAGTGTGGCCTTGAGGCCAGCTGCAGCAGTGGGGCTCTAAGTTGTCCAGTTAGCCTTCTTCGTGTAGTTTTCCTCAAGGAAAGAAATGCACCAGGCTGCAGGAGGAGACTTTCCCGGGACTTGCCATAAAAAGCAAGTGGATTGGACCATCACATGGGTGGACTGTTGCTGATGATGTGGGCCACTGCTCCGGTCTGCCCCTTTTGGGTCTGAAATATACATTCCCTCCACTGTTGGCAGTATTGGTGTCTGAGATCTTAGTCAAGACTGTGTAGGAATTGCCATCAACAGATGAGAGTTGTCATGTCCACTGTCACCCCCCCCCCGTTGGCATCCTGCATCTACTGACTAGTCAGTTGGTACAAGGGTAGGAGGTGCTATCCCAGCTCTAAAGCTCCCCACTAGATTGGCTGAGGCCTTTGTTATGACTACATCATAGAAAAAATATTCCCAATCCTGCCTTTCCTCTCTCCTCCGTAGGTATTTGCTAATGAACTTGTTGCTCGCCAATCTCCATTCCAGAATCTTTTCCCCCGGGGGAACCCAATCATGACAGTACCTGAGTCAACAATACAGTACCCCCAAGACTGCATTTGTAGCTGACACGTTCACAGTGCCCCTACACTAGTTTTAGTGTAACTAGGCCAGAGCATTTATCTATTGAAATACATATGATTTCATTATGAGCCATTAAGTAACAACTTTATCTTTGGTATTAGAGCATTATTTTTAAAATGTTACCTTAAGTAGGTGTTATTTGTAAATTCATTTAACATAAATGGTTAAATCATTTTAAAAGACCATCATACAAGTGACTTTTCTTTAGCTAAGACATTAGAGTCAGTAACTTTGGGAAGAGGACCTCACTGACAGCCGTAGAAACTAGTTTATGTGACTACTCTCCAATGATCAGAGACGGATCATGGCACGAAACTTGGATTCTTTCCCATTGGATTAATGAATTTATCCATTCCCTCAGATCATGTTCTAATACTAATATCAAAAGAAGTCTGTTTAAATTTGATTAAGTTGCATTGAAAGGAGTATACTCATAATTTCTAAATCACTACCACGTATAGAGTGAACACGGCCAGCTGCTTTGAATTTTCTTTTACAATAAGTGTTACTATTAGCTTCCAGAGTATTAGTCCACACTCTTGTTTTGACAAACTACAAATGGATATATGGCATTCTAAATTTTAACTCAACATATGGATTTAGAACACTGGGCTGCAGAGAACTGAGTTAGGGAACTAAGTCTTAACCTGATTCTCATCCTTTGATCATTTAGTAACTAAATGGGATTTACCTGATTTTGCTATTCATCCATATTCTAAGTATTTAGTGAGACTAAATTTAGAAAGAATAATTTTTTGCATATATGTGTATGTATGTGTATTTCTATATTACATATTATAAAGAACAAAAATAAAATCATGAGATTCATAATAGTTAAATAAAGCACCGGCCTATAGATCATTACTTTTTCAAAAGCCAACAGCTGTAGTTTTTAGGTAACAATTTACTTAAAAAATTCTTCAGCATTAGTAGCATGAAAGGTGTAAGCTAATTTTATCATATGTCCTAGAGAAGTGTAGTTAGCATTCGAAGTATCCTAATCAGGAATCCACTTTCCAAGATGATTAAACAACAATCTTTATCAAAATTTACACCGGTAAGTTCATTAAGTTGCATAAAGGGGGGTAGGAATGAGTTTCCATTAGTGAAATGAGTGGTAGTCAAGATAAATGCTTGGCTAGAACAACTGGCCGCCATCAACTTTGCAAGAAGGTGTTAAGAATCTCTTATACCCAGCAGTGTTGAAGGATTAGAGCATCCTTTGTCCTTTGTCTACCTTCTTCACAGACCTGAGGCCAAGTTGTCTGATTTGGTTATCAGAATATTGTTGTGTCTACATAAGAATAACACTTTCAATCAAGTTTCTTTCAAACTTTTATTTCAATAGTGGGTCCCGAGAAACGAAAGTGGAGGCTTCTCTGGGATTACAGGAATCAAATGAGTAATTCCTGGTTAATAAGTGTTGTATGAAGAATTTGGGATAAGATTTGCTTCCATTGTAACATTAGGTTGCAAGAGGATGAGGGAGGCTATACATGGCTTTCCCTTTCCATTCTTGAGGCCAGCCTCAAGCAGTGGGATCTAATCGCTTGGAGAGGTATCCCATAGGCTGTTGGGTAGGACCCAGCCATTGGGTGAGGACCTCCAGGGCTATTCCTCCTCTCTCGTGAACATAGAACTGGAAGGGACTTGTGGGACCTGTAAGCCCGAAGGCCGGGGATCTTACTAGGAGATTTTCTCATTCTTCCATTGCTTCCTGTTGGGAAGGATCCCACTGGAGACGTCTTCCCAATCATCTACCCCTAAAGCCCCTTCTGGGAAGCTGGTCCCCATGGATCTGGCGTTTATAGTATTGAACAACAGAGACAGGGCTAAAGAGGCAAAAAGGATTCAGGGACAACAGCAAAAGGTGCAATCCTTAGCAGCAGCCTTTATCTCTGCACCACCTCAGAGTTACCCTCCACCAAGACCCATGGTGAGGACAGGATCCAGGATGCCTGCATCAGAGCCACTGTCTTGCCAAAAAGGGACCTGTTTTAAGTACAGCCAGGAGGGCCACTGGAAAAACAAATGCCCCAATTTTGGGAAAAGTCCACCAGGACCCTGCCCTATGTGCAAACAGAAAGGCCACTGGGAGCGGGACTGCCCCCAGTCCCGAAGTGGGCTTGGGGCTCCCAAACCAATGATGGCTGAGATGACTAAAGGCTGCTGGGGCCTGGGACCCTCCCTGGCTCCCACAGGACACCGGGTCATTTCTCCGGCAGAGCCTTGGCGACTCCTTGTGGCAGGTAGAAAAGTTGTCTTCTTATTAGACAAGGGAGCCACCTACGTGTGCTGACTGATTTCCTTGGACCCTTGTCCTCCCAATCCAGTGTACTAACGGGGGTCAACAGAAGGCCCCCAACAAGGTGCTTACTAAAAATTTACTTTTACACATGAGTTTTGGCTGGTGGCTGAGTGCCCCATCCCCTCACTGGGAAGGGACCTACTTGCTCAGTAAATCCCAATAATTAAAATAATCCAATTCAAAGACCCTTACGTGAAAGACATGCACCCCAAAAAATGTCTACTCTTGGCTTTGGGAGCCTGCCTCAATCCCAAGCCAGAAGAGGTCTCCCTTCCACTCCATATTGATTCTCAAGTCAACCCTGCTGTCTGGGAACCTGAGGTCCCTGGCAGAGCTACTATTGTCAGGTTATCATCAAAATGGGACCACGTGAGGCCACAGGCAGGCCTCTTCAGATCAGAGGCCAAACCAAGAGCTTTAATTAAAAAAAACTTCTCAAACCCAGGAAGGCTCCTCAAAAGTGTTCATAAATAGATGGCCAAACGGGAGGCCATTGGTTGGACTAAACTGACCATAGCTGATATTTGGAGCCTAATAAAATTTTTTTAGAAAAGTCTCCCCTAAGCTAAATGAGAAAAAACAAAACTGTCTTTGTTTTACAAATCTAGTCTTTACAGGACCAGAGGTGTGTCTCCAGAAAGGATACAAAGCCCACCAATCCTTTGACCACTCCCAAAACCTCCCCTACGTATTTATCTTAATAGACAAGTATTAAAAAAAGACACTTTTTTCTGGCCTTTGAAAAACAAAATCTCTCTATGAGACTCTAGGGCTTCCTATGCCTTTGAGATACAAATATTCTACCTTGTCTTCTCTGGGAATTCTGATCTCACCATCTTTTTAAAATGCAAATTTAAAAAAAAAAAGGTGGGGAAAGAAGTAATTTGGAACTTAATTTGCTAAGGAGAAGTAAAAATTTTATCTCTTTTTCATAAATATTAGCAAAAAGCCTTAGCCATGTAAGTGGGCAACTTTGATTTGTTCTATCTGCCAAAAACCCCAGTTTAAATCCAACTTCTTTGGTAGCCAATGGGCTTTACTTTGTTCTATCTGATTTATGACTAAAATTTTAAAATGAAAACTATAAGGTGTTGTATGCCACAGATGTATGGTATTGGCACAATTAAATGGTAAAAGAGCTCTTTAATTGGCTGAAAGGAAATTAAGTACTTCTATAAATACTCAAAACATAGAGAAAACTGGCCAAAATAAATTTCAGGTTCACGTTATCTAAAAAGGATTCAGTACTGGTACTGGTATTGAAGCTAGCTTAAGCTTGCTAGTTTAATTAATTCAAACATGTCTTTAGAGGCATAAGTGTTAAGTATAATAGTTCAGCTGTGCCCAGGCTTAGTAGAGGGCAAGCAAAACTTTATTATATCTGTTACAAAGCTGTCAACAAAAAAAGTAACTCAGTGTAAAAAAAACTTTCAAAAAGTAAACAAAACATGGGATTTGGGGTAAACTCTATAGGAGTTTTCTTTTGAAAGTATCCACCTAAAATTCTCTCTCCAAATTTTGGTACTTAAAAGTTAAAAAGTTCACTGACTATCTGTGTCATTTATAAAATATTAAAACATTAATTGCTGGGCAGGCAGATCTAAGTTTATCTACCTTTGCCTTAGAAAAAAAACAAAACAAAACATAAGTTTCTAGTCAGGAAACGGTGATATGACAACCAATTCACAGTTGCTTGCTTCTTGGTTTTTGCCAGAGATTTAAGGTTTTGGAGGGTTAAAATGATAATACATGTAATTACAGCTCCTAAAATAAGTATTTCAGTAAACAGTGGGAAAGTAAGATGTATGCTTTTAGTAAGTATTTCGTAAACAAACAAACAAACAAAGAAAAGCTAAAAAAAAAGGTTTCATACATAATCAGAATTTTAAATATCTAACAAATTCTGAAAGTTCTTTGTGGCCCCCAGCTAACTTTAAGATGCTTTAAAAAAAAACCTGAGACATCTCACATATTAAATTAACTAGGATTATTTAATATGTAAAGTTAAATATAATCAGTCATAATTGTCATAATTACAAACAAATCTATCAGTTACAGATGTTTAGCCATGCCTTTTAAGTCTTTTTGTTGTTACAGACTGTCGAGTTGTTACAAAGGTGCTTCATCTTTAAAAACATTCATCAGAAGTCAATGGAAACAGTGGATTTCAACAGTCCCAGTCAAATGATGGCTATTGGAAGATTCCAGCTCATACCCTCAGCCCTCTGGACACAAAAACAAAAGGCTTCCCTGCTCTTGGGGCCCCTGGATTAGGCATTCAGAGATTTCTTACTCCCTGCTAGGGCCCTGCTCAAGCCTGGCCTGTTAGCAACTTCAGAAGAAGGACCATCGCCCCTCTACAATTCCATAAGATTATGGGAGTAAAATCTCTGAGGTGGCGATGAGACAGGAAGGGGGCAGGGCACAGCCATTCAGGGGATTACACGGCAATTAACGCTAGAATGGCTAAAGATTCAACCCCCAGGAGGACTTGAGGCTCAAAATGGTGGGAGATTTGACTTCTAGGAGACCGTGAGCTTCATTATACGCCCACTGTAACACATTAGCATGGTGAATAACATGCCCACAGGCACCCATGGCAGTCCCAAGGCTAGCCACAAAGGGTCAAAGAGCGGGAAAAGGCTAATTTCCTGGGAATCCCAGCCCCTTCTTCAGCCTAGACTGGTCCTTCGACTTATTAAGATATAAAGCTACCGAGCCCATAAAAATTGGCCTTTGGAGACGGCCTGTACTCTATGGAATGTGTGCCCACTTTTATTCTAAACTGAGCTTCCAAACCCCACATCTTGTGGCCTTTCTCTTGCCTCCTGATGTATCTCTAAATAAATCTACCTTGACTCAAACAAAAAAAACCCCAAAAAACAAAAAAAGATGATTTGTCCCTCATATGAGCAGAAGACTAAGTTAGACAAGCCTGGGGGTGGATATACACCTACATAATATACATATTTTATATGTATATATTTCATTTTATAGGTATATATATGTATATACTCATATATATAATACACATATATATACACACATCCATACAGATATGTGTATATATATGTAATATATATCCATAGACATATGTATTGATACACACATATATAATATACATGTTATATATGTACATATATTATATATGCATAAATATACAGATATATAATAAACATTACATATATACATATCCATACAGAGACTTATGTATTTACATGCACCCATAAAATAGGCACATGATACGGCTGTACATCCCTAGCTAGACCTGTGTATGGATGAGCACCCCTTTAATAGCCACATGATATGGATGCACTTCACCTCCACCCACAGGCCTGTGTTTGGAGGGGTACCCGTTCTCATAGACACATGAAAAGGGTGCACTTCATCTCCATCCCATCTTGTAAACACATGACATGGGGTGCGTCTCCACCCTCAGGCCTGGGGATGGAGGGGCACCTCGTCTTGGCATTATTAAAGGTTCTGAGAAGGCCTGCAGTACATTCATTTACTCTTGTATCAATCTTAGTTGACCTTAGTATCCCTTTATCCACTAACACTGATTAGCTTCCTGTGGACTATTTTGGGAAAGACTGGTCCAGCATATCTCAGGTCTCTCCCAGCACTTACGCTGATAACACGTAGGAAGAGCAACGTAGTCTTTTGACACGGCTCTGGAGATCAAGGGAGCAAATTTTAATGTCCCGGAGTTGACAAGGCACCTGTTTATATTAATTGGCCCCTTGAAGATCAATATGATTCCCTTGTTCCTATAAAAGCCTTCACTCAGGGAAAGTGGTAATGACCATCACAGAATCTTGGTGGCCACCTACAGTACAATTAGAACTGGTCAAGAAGGGCCAGCTACCCTCAACATAGTTTAGTTTTCCTTTCCAGTGTAACGTGCTTTTCTCCACAGCAAATGCTTTTGCCACTGTTCCCTAGAACAGTTCTGCTGCCTTTAACAGGGTCGCTTCCCCACTTCCTTGTCCAGAATGAAGTCAGTGTGCAGGCAGGCTGTCAGGAGTCCTCGGGTTAAAGAGCTGCTCTTCCAGGAAGGCACCTCCGAAGCCATACTGTTCTTCATGCAGACTGATTTCTTCCGGTGACAAGTGGCTTCCTCCAAGAACAAAGCCTGCAAACCTAGGTTTTTTTGTTTTAAATAGTTAACGTTATCACAGAAAGGTTTATTTTGAAGATAACATGTTCCCTTGATACTTATCCCCTTAAATTAAACGTGACTTTGCATCAGTGGAGGATGGCATTTACACAGCGGGCGTGAAAACAGGAATGGCTTATGTATCCTCCTCGAGATGCTCAGGGAAAGGCAGACTCAGAAGCATCGGTGCTGCCAAAAAGACCGCTCCTGTTTTCTAATCCCGTCTCTCTCCCTTTCTTAATAAACATATTATTTATTCATTATTTGGTGTCAACACTTCCCCTTCAGCCTCCAATCTGAGGGCACTGTCGTTGGGAGAAAGCTATGAAGAAGGGAAAGCGCTAAGGAAAAGATGTCGGGGCGGAGATGTCTTTCTTGGTCAACTTTACGAATGACTGTCCGCACCCTCAGAATGAGAAACAAGTGACACATCCCATTCCACCTCTTCCCTTCTCCTATGAGCTGTCTGGATGGCCTGCCCTATAAAACACATCGGGTCAACACCGATTCTGACACCGGTAGGTTGTACAGTGCAAGTCGGAGCACGGAGGGAAAAGAACATCCGACAGCTTCCACATCGTCTGTCATGCAGGGAAGTCAGCTGTTTCTAGCCTGAGGCATCTGAACCAAAGCGCTGCATTATTTTCACAATAAATCCAACCCAAGCTGTAGTCTGGGCAGCTGAGTGGGGCTTACTTTTTGGGCGCCTGGAGCCTGGAGACGGCCAGCCAGGACGGAAAGCCGGGGCTGCGGCAGGCCTGGCGCAGCTCCTCCAGGGCGCGGGTGGTCGCAGCATCCGCTTGTTCCCTGTATTCGTCTTCAGTGAGGTACTTAACCACCGGCTTTTTCGATGTAAACCATGTCTTCACTTTCCTAAAACACGCAGCATTTAATTGCTAGATTCCATATTTGGTTACTCAATTCAATCCTTAAGATTTATAAAAGTATATTTCTTAGTGACAGTAATAACTCTTAACTTCCTCTACATCATACTATGCTGCATTATTGCTATCATGACTGGGGTTTATAGAACTTGCTGTTTGGGCCTAATAATACCTTTCTCCTCCTCCTGGACCATCCTAAATAATGTTCTAAGGCATCTGAGGATCAATTTCTGATAAAGATATTAATTGTATTTTTCTTCCTCGGTGACTTCAAATCACACAAACAGACAATTAAAGGTCTAGCTTCTTTATGCTTGCCTGGATTTCCTTGGGCACTAATAGAAGCAAGCCTTTGAGATGTCCTTTTACGGAGACCCAGAAGCATCATTTGCCACTTAGTCTCAACACAGAAGACAGAAACATTTGTGGGACAGTGCCTCCACCTAGTGGTGGTGATTCTCACTAATCCTAGAGAGGGAGCCAACACTGGACAAAAAGTTGTGTATTAAAAACAATTCTCGTGGGGAGGGTACAGCTAAGTGGTAGAATGTCTGCTTAGCATGCACAAGGTCCTGGGTTCAATCCCCAGTACCTCCATCAGATAAATCAAACAAACTTAATTACCTCCCCCACCAAAAAATAAATAAATAAAATTTTAAAAAAGAAAAAAACCCCAACAATTCTTTGCTACATGGTGAGGGGCTCATGACTGGAATTTTTTTCCAACCAGGAAAGTCCTAAAGGAGAGAATCTCATAAAAATGGTAATGGTGATAAAATTTTTAACATATATGTTATATTTATCAATGAGCTTTTAAAAATGTTTTTGAGTGGCTTAAAATTTAATTTAACCAAAGATTCTCAAATATAAATAAATGAGCATCAGAATTACCAAAAGGTGTTTTAACATATTATTTCCTTGAGGTTTGGGACCTGAAAAATCTTTCAATTTTTAGTAACTCTGTGATGGTTGATGAGCTGGATTAGGGGCCCACTGACATTATTTCCTTCTCCTTTTCCGAAAACCTAGCCTGGGCCCCCCAGAGGAAAACCCCTGGGCTCTGAGCAGAAGACTGGGACACAGTCTGGCTCTGAGGTTTACCCACTGTGTGAACTGGGGCAATTCCTTCACAGTTCTGAGCCTCACTCTGCACACAGGGGAAAAAAATGAAAGTAATAATATCCATCTCAGGAGGTCACTGTACAGATGAAATATCATGTTTTGTGTAAAGTGCTCAGCACAGTGAGTGGCCTATAGTAAGTATGCAGTAAAGCTAATCACAAGAGTAGCTACCAAATATTATTAAAATACAAACAGCTCTTTGCAAACTAGAACGTACTATAGAAATCAAAGTATTATTTCTCTGGTTTATTATTTAACCTGTAAGTTCCTCTTTTATCCCTCAATTCTTCACATAATTATTCACTAGCAAAATGAAAAGTTGAAGTTACAATAATATTTTGATTATTCATGTTAACAATACATAGTAAGCGCATAAGGGGATCGTCATGCAGGTGACAGAACACACTCTGCTCCTGGCAGGGCAGTGATGTTTGAAGAGAAAGTGGAAGGCATTCTCTCTTGGGTTCCTTAGGGCACAAACCTGGCAAAGGACCAGAGGCCTGGAGGATGTGGAGTGGCCAGCCTCCTCCTGGCAGAGGGACCTCTTGACACAGGGCAGAGAGAAGCAGTCAGCATCAGTGCCTCTGACCCTGCTGCCTTTCAGCCTTGCCACCAGCCTCTGCGTAGGAGCCCTGGTCTCATGCTGGTGCATGTTTACCCCTGTGACATCACCACATATGCAGCCACCAATTACCAGTCACCGAAGTCTCCTTCTTCACAGCCAAGTCTACCACGTAAATACTTATTAACTCCTTCTTCTGGCCTTGAATCTCACTCCTCCAGGCCCCCATCACCTCCTGCCTGGACCACTGTGATGTCTGATGCCTGGCCTCCTGCCCCAGAACCTCCCCTTACATCTTCCCTCTGTGCCAGAAGACAGATAGGCCCCATCCCACTGCCCGAAGAGTGTTCATGGTCTCTGCTTTGATTTTTGCTTGTTGGATGTATTTTTATCTTCAGATTAGTTGCCAACATTAAAAAATCATAAAAATTTACATTCTAACCCATATTCTTAGCTTTTTTAGAAACCAGAAGGTGTGCAAGGCTGGCCCATATTCCCACATGGCAACAATCGGCTCAAGTTGAACGGTAACTGACCCCCTTTCGACAGGGCTACATCGTACAACTTCCCACATCCTCACGCTCGCCCCACCACCTCACCTCTGCTCAGAATCACTCACTCAGTACATGTGAGGGCCCTGAGCATTTGAATTTGTAACCACTGTGCAGGCAGCAGTCAGAGAGCACTGACTAATGTGCATTAACTGTCAGCTGCCTCCACTGTGCCCAGGATCAGGTCAGATTCCTCAGCACAGCCTGCAATACCTCCACGACCTGGCCGACGCCCCCTTGCTCACCTGCCTCCTGATGGTACCAGGCTGGGCTCTCTCCCTGTCAGGAAAGCCCCTCCTATATTTATTCATCTGGCTGTTTTGATTCATTAAGATTTAGCCCAGTATTATCTCCTCCAGGAACTTTCCTGAACTTTTTCAATGTCACAGTTCCTGGGTGGGCCTACTGAACACTTCAAGGCTATAGAAGTGTACACCTACGTCCAAGGACCCCTCACAGGTGGGGACCACCTCTGTCATCTGCGCACCTGACACAAACGCAGGTGCTGAGACTCCGTGACTGAGGACGTGATGAAGCCGTGAGAAGAAAAGTTCCCTCATCTTTTTTTCTGTACTTTTAAAAGACTGAACCCTTTTCTTAAAACCTAAGAGAAAGAAAGTCCTCAACATAAATAATACCTTTTAACCATTTGTAATCGATTTCTGTTCCCTAACTCTTATCTCAGAAGCACAACAAATACCTCTAAAGCAGTTGTGGGCTCCAAAGAAAGAAAATGTAGAAAGAAAGCAGAAGTTTTAGGCAACCGAGAGCCCAAGTGATTTTGCCACTGATTTTTGTGAATTCTAGGTGAGCTGTAATTACCAAGCAATTGGTGGTGCACCTCTGGGAGATTAATGAAGACGAGCACTGGAGGTGGGGTCAGATGCTTAAATTCTCTACCCTCCTCCTCTCTGAGGGAGCATTCCAGATGAAATGGAGTCAACTCTGAGATTAAATGTGACATGTCCAAAAGATTCCCCCAAAGAATGAATAAAACCAGAGCCCAAAATGTCACATTTACGAGGGGTAAAAAAAGATATGCAGTACCTCATGTAGCCGAACGCTTTCAGTGGGTAGCGCAGGTTCCCGGACGACAGGAGAAGGACCATGACCGTACAGGCGAAGCGAGGTGCGGTGACACCAGCATAGACCAGGAGCAGGGCCAGGAGCCGCAGAGTCCACATCAGGAGATTTCTGCTCCTCTTCTCAACCAAGGGCCCGTGCTTGTAACAAACAGTAAAGCTGAGACACCCAACTATCAAGATATAGCCTGCAAGAGAAGAATGTAAAAGAATATAAATCTGAACTTGAGAAGTTATGTGAAAAACCTGGCAGAGCCTTGACTTAGAGCTAAGAACATATCAGAAAACCTTCCTTTTTGCTTTCTCTTTCCAATGAAGCAAAGTTGAAAAAATGCATTTAGGGCTAGTTATTCCTTCCATGTGAGATGCTAGGCTGACTTTTGTAATAATTAAGGATGTATAATAATAAATTAATATAATACATTATGTATAAATATACCTGTTTTCTAGCCCCGAGTCCTACAGGGCAAATATTATCACGGTAGCTCGGTGTATGTCATAGTCTGCTATAAAACCTATTTTTAATTTTTACTTTCTACTCACAAAAGGAAAATCTAATTTTACAATGAGGGATCAGGCTGTCACTCTTGTAATCCACTGCTCAGTCACAGCATTACTAACAGAGGGACAATGAGATATTCTGTGGCGCCTCATGTTGTGATCCAAGGTGAAGTGCAAATCGCCTCTTACACATTCCATCAAAAGTGTTTCATTTGTATCTAATGCTAGCCTCAAGATCTAATTTCCAGCTTATAGGAAATGGGGTGGGGGGGAGGGGAGGAAACAAGTTTCATCATATCACAAAGGTGTAATCAGAAAAATCCGGAAAGTAGAACATTGTATAGGACAACTACCTTGGTCTCTGTGATAGGGGAAAAAAAAAGAACTGTTACAGATTAAAAGATTTATAGGACACAACAGGCATAAAATGTGATTCTGGACTATATGCTACCTTGTACAAACCAACAATTAAGGATGTTTAGGAAATTTAATGGCCTGGATAAGACACGATTTTATGTAATTATTAATTTTTTAAGATTTAATAGTTATTTAACTATAGAGGAAATGCTTTTGCTTTTTAGAGATGCTTAGTGAAGTACTGAGGGAAACATACCATGAGATCAATAATTTACTTGGAAAATACCTTGGCATAAAAAGAATAATGGACTAAAAGCATAAAACCTTCAAGTGAAAAAAAAATCGATTGCTTTTGAGTGGGTGGATTTATGTGAAAGATTTGGCACTAAAAGGTTAGGAGAAAACTGATTCCCCCATTGTCCATCATTCCACAATTAAAACAAACACTTTAAAAAGTTTTTTTTTAACAACATGAAACAAGAACAACAAGTGGTTTCTTAACAGCCTCTCTGTTTCTGAAAAGTCAAGTTTTCATTAGTCATTTATATTTAGGATTTCCACCTTTCATACTAAATACACTAAGAAAAAGAAGAGCCACATTTTAGAGAAATTTTTTCATTATAATTTCGGTGTGGTTAGAGCTTAACCACAATTTCAAAGCATATATAGTCAAAAGGGCAAATAGCAAATTTTTTTGCCCTTTTGATCATTAGTATAGAAAACTAAGAAGTATGTCATGGAGAAATAGTCTAACACGAGATGTAATGAACTGAAATCACCAACCACGGAAATAAGATAAAATACTATTTTTAGCACTTTTCTCCTTAGTTCAAAATGAAAATTTGGATGGAGAGAAACGTATGTCGAAAGAAGGCCTCTAGCTGTACTTTTCAGCTGTATTGACAGTAAACTGTATTTTTTTAAACTTTACCTACCTAATATATATATTCTGTTTTCATACCACAGCCACTTCAGATCTTCCATCAGTTGACACAAAACATAAACTGAAGCAAACCAACAACCAACCATTAGAGCCCAAAAGGTGCTATACTGTGTGTGGAAGAAAATAAATGACACAGTTTTTGGTTCATTCACTCTCATAAACATAGAAGTAAACAAATAAACCCTCTGAATCAGAAACTTCTGTATGAAACTGCACTGAAGTCAATTCAAGATACTCGTCTAGGTCTGATTAAAGGCGTGGTCCACACACCAGCAGCTTCGATGCCACCTGCGAGCTGGCTGGAATGCAGATTCTCAGGCCCACTGCAGACTCCTGACTCAGAACCTGCGTTTCAACAGGACCCCCAGGTGACTTGCATATACATTAGTTGGAGAAGCACTGATCTAAAGAACAAATTTATCTCAAAATAATGCTGGTGTTGCAAGCTTTCATCAGAGTAACTACAATGTTCATATCATGAATTAACATGTATTTATCTTTGACTACATGCAGGGCAGTCTTATATTCAAAGTGTTTTGGGGAACTGATGATAATGAAGAAATCCCCGGATGTAGCAACGCCATTATTCAAGGCCCCAGTGGTTCAGCAGCATGACATTCCTCAGCTAAAGCCATGATGAGAGAATTGTTTACTCAGTATAGAATTAGCTGCCATTGCTCATAAGAAAAATGCATTACCTAGAAAATAAGAGGTTCTCAAAAAAAGTATCACCAAAACTTAATACTTAAGCCTACACATAGTAACAAATGAAAATTAAAATCTTTAGAAAAAGATACATTTTACAGCAAGTTTATAAAATGTAGAAACTGGAACTGTCATACATGAATTTAGTCTGATCAGTTTTTCATGGTTATGAGATCATGATTTCCATTTTTTATTCATTTGTACCTAGTATACCTACCTTAGGAATGAATCTTTTCACCAGTAGCAGGACAAAGACTAATGTCATTAGAATACCTAGCACAGTCCCCGAAGAGTAATAGAAAATAGGGCTTCTGTCAAGACAAGCAGATAAAAGAAATTTAAATGCCAAGTTGCACTCTCAGTATGAAAAACATGTTTAACGTGGTGACAGTAGCCATAAAGAATACTAAGAAGAAAAACTCAGATGGCAGCTTTAATTATATCCTATACTCTTAAAAAAAAAAAGAAATCTCTACTTTAAATTTATAGTAAATGGCTTGCCACTAATTCAAAACAGTGTCTGAGTTATCTTCTATGCTTAGAATCTGATCCAATAATACTTACTGGAGCACCTACCACTTGTCTGAGAGCTTTACATGCACTCAAACAGCCCTGTGAATCAGTTATCCACGTCTACATTTTACACGGGAGGAAACTAAGGCACCAAGAAGTTAAAGACCTTCTCCAAGTCAGTATCTGCTGCCTGGAGGATTCAGGCTTGCAGCCTAGCTCCTCTAAGTCCAAGCTTTACTCTTCACACTATGTAGACAACAACCAATTTATTAAGACCATGGAGGATATTCAACACCCTTGATTACACTACAAGAAAAAGCTCAAAAACGAACAATGTCCAGAATAGCAAGCTAAGATGTAAAATATTACTGGAAAGAAATTCCTTTTTCATGAGAGAAGCTGTAAGACACACAGTATCAGGATAACATGTGTATCCAGAGTCGGACAGTGGTTAAAGTCAACTTTCTGTATCAGAGCCACAAACCGAGGAGGCAGCTCAAATGTAAGAGAGGAAGGCATCTGGTATCAGAAAACCTGAGTATAAACTTCAGCCCTGGCCAGAACTAGTCATGTGATGACGGATGTTGGTTTTCTCACCTATGAAATGAGAACAGTCATACAGAGCTCACATAATCATTAAGAGAATCAATTCAAATAATATAACACATATTAATAAATAATACAAAATAATGCATGTGAAAGCACCCTGAACCATTACAGATTATACTATACAAACAACAGTTACTGGGTTTAAAACCTTTCAAACACTATCTTCAGACTTACTGTTTGGAAAACCTAAAGCAAGAACTACAAACTAATGTGGAAATATTGAGCAGAGGGTCAAAAATGTCCTACTGCTTTCGATTCACAAAAATAAGAAAGTAAAAATGAATACTTACTGACTCAAGGTCTTCGCATAAAAGAAGAGGAACATGCCTGCCACAAACACAAGGAAGAGTTTGAAATCCACAACTGGAGTGAAAAAGACACGGGCACATAAGAAAGATTTTGTGTCAATGTAGCATTAATGAAAGAAAAGTCGATTTACTGAAATGTCACTGCAGAAAAACTGAATCCAGAAAATCAATGGACTTACTGTTTCGAGTCACGCTCATTGTATAGGTAAATATCTTCCTGGCAGGAGTCACAGAGAAGCACACGGTCTCCCCATATGGATTGATGACTATGGTTATATCATTAGACTCTTTTGGTGTCCAAAACTTATGAATCATACATTTGATAATAGACAGAATGGTTTCTGGATACTGGCAATTATGTCTTTCTGTGATATAGACAATACTGAGCAGGCCTGAACTAGTAATTTTCACCTACAAAACAAGAACAAATTCACAAACACGCAACTCAAAACTTCTTACAAGCTTCTTAAAATCATGAGCAGAGGAGTAAAGAGAGCCTAAGGCTGGTGGAGTAAAGAACACGCAGATGTACATGGGAAAGTTCTGATCCCAGGGATGGACCTAGAGGTCTGTATTTAGTCAACACACACTAGAACATAGACCCTTTTGAAAGTGGGTATTTCTTCCCCTGAGTTGTGGCTGATTGAACTCCTTCTAGCAGGTTATTGTGGCCAAAGGACATGTAAAAAAGGATGGCACAGAAAATAACAGGTGGCAAACTATTTGGTTACAGACATAATGAGAATAGGGTTTACTACCTCTATCATTTCTACTGTGATTGAGAAAAAGCACTTCTATCCATCCTATGGATCAGCTGAGCATAAATGATTCAGGCTTCTTTCACCATGCCTCCTGAAGGACCGGAACCCAAGCTCAAGGTCCTACCCAAGCCTCACAGCAAAGGATCAGCCACAATGCCAAGCAGATGGCGACAGCCCAGAGATCATTAAAGGACAGCTCTGTGGCTGCTTTTGTCTCTATTTCTTTTCTTTGTCCAAGGTTAGGGCAAGCCTGAAAAGGGGAGTGAGAGCGCCAGCCCTGAGCCTCAGGCATCAGGCGACACCACTATCTGCCCACTGTGCCTCATTTCTCTTGGACATCAGCCCCTGGCTCAGTGTGGCTCTCTCTCCAATACTACTTCCTGCCCTACGTCTCTGGGACTAAATAGACACAATATACATACCAAACTCCTTCCAATACGCTGTCCTCTTGGTTCCTTGAACTCCCTTCTTATGCTCCTGTCCGCCACCCCATCTCAGCTAATCACTCTCACAGCCACACCCTGATTCTTGTTAGTCCCAAACTCCGGCCCCAGATACTAGCTGCATTTCATGAACCCCACTGATTGAGCACCACCTCTTATCAGTGTGCCCCCTCTTGGCACCCCAATCCCAGCAAGCATTGACCCTACCATGGATCAGGCATCTTGCCCCTGCTCCTTACCCTTGACGTCCTCAGCCACTTGTCTTCCAGCCAAGTGCCCTGATCAGCCATTGTAGCCATCCCCCTATATATACCCTTAACTGGTCTGTGCCCTTCTTGCTTTATCACATGTAGTTACAAGATCCAACCCTCCACCTATTCCACTTTTGCATCTGCACCACCAGCTGTGCTGGAGAAACTCACGGTGGTCTCACTTCAAACCCATGGCTGTGCACCTCAAGTGGGACCTGAGAGCTGCGGGCAATCACACCATCGCTCCCATCCAGTCACTCTCCCACTCCCTTCGACAATGACCTCACAGCTTCTTCTTCCCCGCAACCCCAACAGCTCCTGCCCTCCTCACGCCTGGTCGATGATCTCTCCTACTTCACTGAGAATGGAAGAATTAGAAGAGAAAGTTGACCAGCTCCTATGCCCCCCTCCACCCTCCTGTCAGGATCTGCGGGCACATGCTGTTCCAGCCTGCAGGGAAGAAATTCCTGCCACATGCTCCGTTCTGAAGGCAAGCCCCCAGCCTGTGCACTGGATCTGATCCACCTTCGCTACTCAAGGACATTAAACCGGTACTTCTTCCCGCTCTAGCAGACCAACCTACCAGCATACAGACATGCTGGGGTTTTCCCATTTAAAGCAAAAAGCAAAAAAAAAAAAAAAAAACTTCTATAGACCCTAATTTCCCCTCCAGCTACCAACCCGTTTCCTTGCTTCTCGTTGCATTAAAATTATTTTTAGGATAGTCCTAGGAATGTATTGTTTGCCAGCAGGTAAAGAAGTGCTCCTACAATGACAGACACCCGTTAAAGGATACAGGAGCTAGTCTGAAGGGGCTCCGACTGGCCACATCTAGGACAATTTGAATAACAAAATAAGTAGTAATGAATTGTAGTCCAGTGAATGAACTGGCAATCCATGAGACCATGTGGCTATAAATAAACTGGGGAGGTAAAACTCTTCCTTACAGAAAATGCCAATGAATACAGAAGGAATAATGGAACTAGAAAATCAG